GAATATTATTATTTACTTATTATTATTCTTTTTCAGATGTTACCGCTATCTTTACCTTATCCGCCAAAAGAAGACAGTGAGTAATATTGAGATATATATATATATATACTATACATAAATAAATTGCATGTTACATATTAAATTGCATTAATATTAATTGCAGTATCACTCTCATTACCTTATAATTCGGAGATTGTCTTTTCTTTTTATATCTCAATATTTATACATTATTTTTGAGATAATCTTTAAGATGTTACGCTAATAGTTATATATCATTAGTATAAATAATGAAGAAGTGTGGTAAAATTACAGAAAAGGGAAGTGCCTTGATCGAACCGCTGATGATTCTGACCTTGACATATATTGTCAAAGTCATGATTCTTAGTAACCTCCAACAGGTTTTAGTTAGCGCTCGGTCTTTGTTAATGAATCATTAAAAAAAAAATTTAAGAAATAAAAAATATTATTTTGCTATATACGTATTAAGGTCTACCCGACTGTCCCTTCACCGGCTGAAACCTGTTGAAGGTTACTCAGGATTATGACCTTTTGACAATATATATCAAGATTAAGATCATCCAGTGATTGTTCCCCTTTTCTGTAGTATAGTACTAAAAATGTTAATATAATTAATAGAATATAATATAATATAATTAGTAGAATCCGCACACGTGCGGATTATTCGCTGACCGACCGATTCGAGTCGATCGCAGCACGTTCTTCATGATTCTCTCCACTGCCACTCACTCAAAGCCGTGATGAGCGACAGAGCGACGGTAGTGGGAAATGAGATGGGGACAGCTAGCTACGGTTGACACGATCTCAAAATATTAATCCTGGCTCTAATAATTAGTATGAATGAAATTATGGATAAACAGATAAATTTATAAGGATAAGCAAAACGGATAAGCAGAAATATTTATTTATAAGTGTACCACGATAAATTAAATTAATTAAAAATGCTTAGCCCGTTTCTATATCTATCTATTGAGTTACGCTGAACTATTCTTATTGCAGTGATGATATGGATACTTTGCAGCAATCTAAGGCCCGTTTTCACAATATGTGGTTATCTAAAGGTTAAAGATTATTAAGAAATTTATTCATTAATTTCTTGGTAACTTTTAATCTTTAAGTAACCATATTGTGAACACAAGGCTAAAACGACATTTCATATTATTACGAATTTATTCGGTTTTTTAAATCATTCAACGCGCTTATGTACAAGATAAAATTCGTTTGGCATTTGAATATGTCATATATAGACCGTGACACGAATAATGCATTATTTATTCGTGACTTTTGCACGCTGTGTGAGTGATATTTTGTATTATTAGTAGGAATGGAGAAACTATAATCACAAATATCATGATTCTAAGATGATTTCTTAGCGCGTACAGAATCACATCGAAATTCCCTGTATAAAATTACTGCAGATCAATGTATTCGAAAATATATGTTTTGATCAGATCGTACGTTTGTTCTAAAAAAATGAAAGCTATCCCTATATTTTTCGAATTATTCGCGGTTTAAAAATACTTTGAATAAATACAATTTTGAAAACGTACAAATATATGAAACTTATAAAATTAATTATATAGAAACAAACTTATGAAATCGTTTTTGTAAAAGCGTTCTTCTTTTTGCCAAAGCTAGTTTTAGATTTTTTTTAGCACGATTAATTTTCTCGTATACGAAATTATTTACAATTATTTATTTGTAATTTTATTATTTATTACAATAATGTAATAATCGATTAGTGTATCATAAGCAGCTTGCTTTACTTCAAACTTCGATTTCTTTTAAGTGCCGCATATTTTACATGCGCCTTTTTGAAAAGTTTCTTAGCTGCTTACGAAAAGTAGTTTTTTAAAAATGTATTCTATACTTGCATTGCGGAAATATGTCTTAATATGCATGCTAATCACTTATTTACTATTGTGCATTTACATGACAAACGCGCACACATATACGTTCACATATACGCTGAAAATCGAAATTGCCTACCTGTTGCACACATTCTCCTCTGATATCTTCCATCTTTCTTGCAAAATGTAGCCTTTACTGGAGATAGCATATTTTAACTGTTATTTGAAAATTTATTTAACATTAAAAAATTGCACAAATGTTTATGTTTCCGATTTCTGAATGCGATTTCTAAAAGAATGCTTGTCATCGTTCAGCGCATTTTATTAAAATTAGGAATTATTTTATATCAGACACAAATAATAATATAATCAATATTTAAAGAAGAAAAGATATTTAACTATAAAAAATCACGAATTATATAATGAGTATCTCTCTTTCTCTCTCTCTCTCTCTCTCTCTCTCTCTCTGTCTTTCAATATAATTCAACGATATAAATCGTGCTTGCGTATAACTGTTTAATAAACAACAAATATCTTAATCATTACAACGCCGTATTGCGAGAAACGGCGATCTATGGATTTTGTTATTCATTCGCGACATTTCTGTTGTGCACATAATGCTGCGAGAAATGCACGACTCTTTGCGGTTGTCTGGCCTTTTACCAGACGATTCCCGCAAAAACGCGATAGGACGTTACAGTTCACGAACCGCGATAGTAGTTGGCTGTATCCTATTTCTGATACAATTCTATAGTTATAATCAAGCGAAATAACTATAGAATAAATTATAGTATCGAGATTGTGAGACCTCCTCCGTTGTGGAATTTAGGAACAAAGATCGACATTCAGTATACTCAAGCAAGGAAGGTTATTGCTTACCCCCACGCGTACTCTTTAAACCGTTATATTGTACACGAGCATTCAAATGACATTCAATGAAGAAGAAAGAGGGATCGTCTTTCATGGAGAAACAATTCTCACATTGTCTCCGAGATTGCCAAATCGATCAGTGCTTTCAACATTCTCAATTTCCTTGCTTAATTTTTTTCTTATTGATTTTAAATAGAAGCTAAGATTTTTCGTTTGCAAATAAATAAAGTCGCATATATTGTAAAGAGATCGAATTACAGTAATTCACAAATTCAGTCAAAAGATTATGGTTAGAAAATTTATTGAAAAGCGATTTTGCCGGAATCATTTTGTCCTGTTCATCAATGATAATATGCGAAGAACCTCCACGAGCGTCGCGTTACGTTGGTCATTGTCATCTCTAAGCACAAGTATTTGATGTATAAGGAAAACGAGCGTACTTACAACGTCGTTCACAGGGATCCCAACGAAATTCAAGCCATTCTTTCACTTGACAACCCAACCGAATGTTAACCCTGGTTTTACGAGCGTCCCCATTGGCTTGCGGGCCATGCGAACTCGGCTAATATAATACGAACTTATAACCAAAGCCGAAACCTAGGAGCTCACTCTCGCTTTTACGATCCAGCTCGTTTTTAAAAGTTATCGTTATTTTGCTCATTTTTGGATGAAATAGTTTGTTCCCAGACGTAAATGTATTAAAGGATGCGAAAGTCTGTGTGCAGGACTAAACCTGAATTGATAAAATATTTTATTCTCTTTCCTATAGAGAAAGAGAAAAAGCGGGAGAGAGGGAGAGAGAGAGAGAGAGAGGGAGAGAGCTGCAAACATCTGCATCTACAATTTCTCACTGAGTTAAAATCATAGTATAACTGTAAAGCTTTTTTACGAGAATAAATGTGGTGGAAAAGAAAGAAATATTCTCATGAATAGCATGTTTATCATTGAACTTATTTTCTCATCGTGGTATTTTTACTCGTATAATTTTTTTCTGATGCGTAGCTATTGCGAAAATATTATTTTGCATTGTTTTTGAAAATAATTTCTGAGATAAAAATCATTTATTGTCTTATCTGAGAAATTACTGGGAATATTACGGGAATTTTGCTTTTCCTTATTCATAGACTTCGAAGTGCACTGTCGGGCTGATCATAAACATGCATTAATCAATTCACTTCGCGCGCGCATACACACACACACACACACACACACACACACACACACACACACACACACACACACACACACGTAAATACGAATTAATCACCAGAGTTAATTACCGAATTTACATAACACATTTTCATAGTATCGAAATCGATGATAATGGAAAAGCAGCACAACATCCGATAATACGAAAAGTCAGCACTTGCTGTTGCGTCGTGGAGATGTTATACCTCAACTCTAGGGGTGATAATGACGAGTACATGGTTGTAAAGTTTACTTTTACGACCTAGCATTTCGAGGCATTGAGTACAGGCTTTTAATAATATATCGCTCATTGTTATTACGAAGCAGCTATGTGGCTTATGAAACTAACGCGTATTCATTGCTTCACAATGATTACTTCAATTAAATAATAAGTTCGTTGGCCCTTGCGCTTGACATTTTCATACATTGAAATAAAGATATAGAATTTCTTCTTTATGATAGTTTTCCTCACATATAAGTATCTCGTATTATCTTATTTAGTTTCAATATAATTTTTTTATTAATAATATTCAAAAAATATTATTTTGGAATTTTTCGCATTAATGTTTGTATAAATATTAAGCACATACTACAGCCTTTAAATGCTTTTGTACGAAATAGAATTTGTCAGTACATACTCAGTACATTCAGGCGTAAAAATTAGTAACAGTTTGTATAATCATTATTTCCATAAATTATATATCCATCGTAATTAATGCTATTAATGGTACTAGCTCTTTAATAGCAATATAGATGTTTAACATCTGAAAAGTAATGCCTGAGAAAACGGACTTCGTCATTAGAAAACAAAAATTTCACGTTTATATCTATCTTATTCTTTCGAAAAACTAAAATATGCTTATTTGTTAGATGCTTAATTGCAAGCGTTTGATTAATTGTAAATATTACAATTTTTATTATACTTTCTTTGATAAATGTAATTGACTAATTGTTTCTTAAACTAATTTTCTACAATTGCTTATAATTAAACTTGCAATAAATTGTTTTAATCGATAAACACACATTTTAACGAAAATATTAAATACTACAATTTTGGAAGTAACTCTATTCATTTTATGTTTTTATATTACTTTATACTATTGTATTTTGTTAGTAAGCATAAAACTTGAAGATGTCTTGAACAAAGAGA